ACTCGCTGATGTCGTTGATGTTCTAAAGAGACAAAAATGAGAAACGAAGGACGGAAGATGATTATGTTTGGTACCACAGTCAACCAAAAAGTGCAGCCGACGACAAATTATTTAAATATGATAAAGAAAATGAAATTGCGGTAGCCTCGTCTGCTACAAGGCGAATAAAGGTACCGAAGCCCACTTACTATTAAGTATCGTAGGAAGTAAGATAAAAACCGCTTCACATATACGGGTAGCCGGAGGTGCGAGACTTTCGCCGCCATTTCAGTGTCGACCATTTGCTTGTCAGTCGTCTATCCGCCCTTGGTCACCCTTGGTCACTTTTGAGTTAATCATGTGCGGGCATTAGTGCGTGGGTGTGACTAACCTAATGATAGAGCTGCACCTGTGATGCATTTCAACCTACATTCTGGAGGTCATGCTACATCGCATTTGGTTCGACGTGCAAGGCACAATTAGCCTAATAGACGGACGGACAGACAGACAGAAGGTTTTGAGTCGTTCGTCATTCACTGTGCGTCCAGACAGTGGTAGATTTGAGTCTATGGGCTCGCAACACAAGGGATCTGAGTAAGAGATCTAGGATCTCGATTACGTGTTATACGGAACGCGATTCGATATAGATTATTGCCGTGAGTAAACTAGACGAAAGGGACCCAGCGGAAGATGTCGAAGAGCTCCGCCGTATCAGCTAGCACCAACTTCGTGAAGTCCTTATCAGACAGTTGCAGCACCCAGATCAGTTTCAACGAAACGAAATGAATCCGTTCATGTGCTATCGGATACAAAACCGTGACCGCTTTGATGAAAACCGTAGCCTGACGGGGTCTTTCCCCGCTTCTAAAGCCATCCCGTCACATTATGTTGCGAGCCATGTCTACCTCAAGAATCGTTTCACGAGGAACTCTACTGACCTACATGTCGTTTCGAGAAAGACCCACGATAAAGCCCATTTCTTCACGAACAATGCAATCACGTGCACCGCTACAAGTCGAGTCCGATACGAAACTTTGATCTACATGAGCACTCGTTTTATCGTATTCCTCATTTCATTCTCCAATTCCTGGTGAACAGTTCACTACCTTTCTCCAACGCGAACAATGACCACACGCAGCTTGACCCTTGCCGGCCTTCTGGCGGCGGCTCGTGCATCCGCCCACATGTCAGTTTTCGTGCAGCACGACGCCATGTATCTACTGCCAGCATCTCGTGGCCTACCATGCTCGAATGATGGCGGAACGAGCTGTCCAAAGGCCGGAGACATCGCGTCGGCTGGCTGTCAGCCATACCTGCTGTCCTACAATGGATTGGTGTGCGTTGCTCCTGTCGACGCTCAGTGCGTTGAGGTGGTCGACGATACGTGGGCGTGCACGTTTCCTCAGACGGCGTCCACTTCTGTCAACGAGGCTAACACCATCGCAGCGTACAGTGACGACGATGGTGACGATGACGAGGCACTTAGTAAGGTGCTCCGTGTTCTTTGCGATGTCACTTCGGGTAAAGGTACCTATCAGACAACGGCATACGACTGCGAAAGGATCGCGAGTGCTACAGCATACCCTAGTAACTATGCAGCTGCTAAAGACAGCGGTACAGCTAGTATGTACGATCATAGTACAACCCAGGCGATTCAAAATGGGGGGTACACCGGTGGCTCTGTGACTCCGACCTATGAGTTTCCAGTAGGTGGCTTCTCAGCTGACGAGGTTTATCCGGCTGACATAGACGACTTGATCGAAGACGTCGACTCAATTGATGAGACCTACCCTACTCACCATGTCAACGATGGCTTCCAACCCTATATTCCATCAATTCGACCTGATGCTTACGATCTCAAGGGAGGACTGCCCCTGGTCGACCCGATACAAATGATCCCTGATGCTTTCACAGGTGTACCTGATTCGTATTTGACAGTGATTCCTGACATTTTGACACGGATCCCCGATGTCCTGACGGTGGTCCCCGATATTTTGACACGGATCCCCGATGTCCTGACGGCGATCCCTGATATATTGCCTGTCATTCCTGATATTCCCATCCCCACGGTGGTCACGGACATAGTGCCGGTAGTTTCAGACATCCTCACGGCTGCGCCCGACATCTTTACGCTGGCACCTACCATTCCGGTGATACCGATCGTTGCGCCAGCGCCTTTGGCACCAATTACCTTCCCACGCTTCCCGAGACGCATGAGGTCCTTGAGTGAATAGCTGCAATCAGAGGGACGCAGAGATCAAAAGTTAGCTGCCATGAGACTGCCTTCCGAAAATGCAGTAGAAGAAGAAAACATGACAGCTTGTCTCGTCTAAAGCTAATTCCAATAGTAAACGATGTTTGGCTTGAACAGTACAATCACGGTGTTCATCTCATTCAAATCCACCCACGCACTATTTGCACCAAAGTCAAATTTGCGGATAAATCCAAGCTGCATCGTGGCCTTCTCATCGATTTGAAGCACTTGTGTATTCACTTTACAGCCTTTTTTGGTTCGCAGACAAAAGTCCTCACATGTAGCTACAAATTCGTTAGTCGGCTGCTTGCACATGCTCGTTGCGGCCGTAGCTCTTTTTTTTGTTAGAAACGAGTTAGTCCGATGTGCATTTTGTCTTGCTACGTGAGCAAGAAGCAGGTCGCCCCCTACAAGGAGATTGATTGAGCTGCTGTACACAGTAGTTATGTACACAGTAGTTAGCCTAGGCGATGTGCCATTTGTATACCCGGAGTCGTTGGGTCAACGAAGCTAATGTAATGTGCTTCGAAACAAGGAATCGTTATTTATCCGCTATCCTGTCAAATTTGTCTAACCACTGATTACAGACATAGTATTAAATTTGGTAGATGTTGCTTCCGTCGGTCACAAAAAGTTTTTACTTATCAATGAATTTTGATCTCTCAAAAAGAATTTGAGTGCTATTTCCCCCCCCCTGATCACTGCACAAAATAGATAGGAAGTGGCGAGGAATAAGACAGAGAAGCAAGTAAAAGGCGCTAAAAAAAATTTTTGAACAAGGTAGTTCAGATGCCTAACAAGATGAGTGGAATGATTGCGTGGACAGCGAATAACGGAAACGCACGGGAATTCATTGAAAAGGAATATTGGAGTTGACCATGGACACCGCTATGGTGAGGTAAGCCGCCGCGCGGTGGCAAACCACCTTTTCCGACAATATGAATGCCCAATAGGTCGACACGTCCACCACCGCAGTAAGCTCGAAATCGTGGAACGGGCCTGATCGAAGTCAAGATGTTTAGGACTTGGTTTCCGCTAATAGCATGACGTGACGAATGTAAATTTGCTAATTGTGACATTGTGACCCATCCTTCTTGACACCAAAGGAAAGATCGGAGCGATGTTGACGCTATAGAAGTTCAGGCGTGTGCCCAAGCCAAATGAGATTGAAGCAGCCGATCATACTTGCGCTTACCAGTTACACTGGGTATTATTGCGACCCGAAGGGGTAAGGCTATTGCTGACTGCGCGCAAAGTAAATGCCGAACGTTGAAATCCTATTTTCTATCTATGTGTGTCTGCAAATGACGGCGTTACCGAGCAGAACCATCCGCCATTTCCCTTTTCTCATGTACGTATCTTACGGACATCAACAAAATCAACGAGTACCTCTGACATACAACGATCTATCTGCCCTTTCATTTGTTAATACACGATGCACACCCCTTTCCGTAGCCGTTAATCACCCGCAATGGAATGTGATCATAAAGAACTCAATCTAGTCTCTTGGATTGAATTACTCAAATCAAAGGGCGGGCTCCTGAGCTTGCCCCCTGTCTCATTCATATCACAGCGCCGAAGAAAGTGTTCGCAGAGGCTAAAGCTACAGAAAACGACGGGCTAGTCACTATTATCTCTTACTGTTCCCTGATCATAAGCCATTCAAGGATTGTCGTTACTCGATTTTCACAAAGTCAAGTAAGAACGTCGCAATCATTCGTATCGTTATCTCTCCGTATTGAAAGAGATAATTCATGACCGTCTATTAACACATAATTATGCACAAGATGTCTAAAAACGTCTAAGCCAGGACAAAAGCTCCGGAACCGGCAGCATGTCGTGGCTGTCTTCTGTAGATATCGACCCGTCTCGAGATTCGAGAGTCAAGAGGTCAATACAGGTATGCATGATAGCCCCGGCAACAGCTTTGTCGGGACCGCGATGTTCGCGTTTCGCTAACGCTCTAAGATGTCGAATTCAAGCGCTTAAAAATGCGCGGCGCTGTGAAGAGCCGTCGACTGCTCTCCTCGAAAAACCGCGTCGTTCTGCTCACTCCTTAAGTGGGTCAGACAAACGCTGCTCATAATAAACCAAAGACGCTCCCAAACCGAGACACCCGCCTCCCAGTCCTCCAAGAGCAAATGATGGATCCGAAGACGCTGCCTGACCGGTAACACCGGCGCTTGACGATATACACTTCCGAGGAAGCTGCGCGCTTCAAACGGTCACCCAGCCCGTTCACCTGTACAATGACTCATAAGTTTATTCCATTATCTCTACGTATTGAACTGTGGGCCGTTTTTGTGAAGGTACTTGTTGTAACTGCAGTCGGGAAGCTGATTTAAATGAGGGCGACGACTGGTGCAGCATTCAAATGCGCCTGTCCCCACCTTGCCTGTGTAGCAACTGCGAAGATCACCGATATGAATTCATTTTGAAACAGCAGTCAAGCGTACGAAGCGTCACTCTGATTTCCAACACGCACCGCAGCGGATGCTGCTATGACTTAATTACGAACGGTAGTAGTTGAGATCGACGAAAGTATTTCAAAATGGCATTTTACTCGGTCAGCTTCGCAGTGACAAAACAATATAGTCTGTTCACACCCAGGTAATAATCGAGTCGCGGAAACGCACCGAACAGTTGCACCGACTACGGGTCGTTTCGAGAATCGATTAACTGTATCTCGTGACGAGTCGCACCGATCTCATACGTCGGACCCACTAGAAATCTCATTTTCGGACTTTCGTGCGACAGCACACTCGACATGTTGAGCTTCGTGACGACCGCTGCGGTACTCGTGGGCTTGACTGTGGCAAAGGTGGATGTGAATCCAGGCAAAGAAACCTCCTTCTCTACCCTCTCGTGGAACAAGTGGACTAAATCGACCAAGTTGAACCCAAGGGTGCAACATATCCCACTTGATCGGGACCAGAGCCATTTACGACCGCCTCCAGCCGATATCCCCGCCACTTTCGACATTTTTATCGGCTCATCCGCTTATCGAGATGGCTATCGCTGTGGCAAGACACTCTTTACTGCGTTCAAGCGGGCTACTAATCCGGAGCGACTACACTTTGGCATTCTGGAACAGATCTACGAAGGAGATCCCACTTGTTTGGATGAGTACTGCAAACTGGCGGCAGAAGAGTGGTCGGAAGATGAGAGTTGCAGATACCATGATCTGGTGACAGTCGATACACGAGACGCTGCAGAATCTGCTGGGTGCACCACAGCACGTCACCTCCAGCAAAAGCTCATTGGGGATCAAGAGTTCTGTCTCCAGGTCGACGCCCACACCATATTCACAAACCGATGGGACGAGAACATCGTTGCAGACTGGGGCTCCATTAACAATGAGATGGCCATCATGACGATCTACCCGCACCACCCGCATGACTTTATGATCAAGGAAAATGGGGACAATGCGATCTACAACTCGATTCCTCATCTCTGTACGACGATGAAAGGGGAGACCAGCAATTTAACTCGTATCGTTGGAGCTAGTATGATCAGCGACTCGTGGACACCTCAAATGGCAGCTCTCTGGGGAGGTGGCTACTCGTTTAGCAAGTGTCACGCAGAGCTCAAGGTACTGGTTGACTCGCACACGCCATGGCTTTGGGATGGTGAGGAGTTTTTGCGCTCGGCAAATTATTGGACGAACGGCTACGACTTGTACTCTCCAAGCAGACTTGGACACGTCTTGTATCACAACTACTCAGCAAAGCCCGCAAGTTTCTGGAAGGCACCAGTGGATCCCGTGAAGAAGGGCATGGACGCGGCGATGGCTCGTAATCGCGTACGTCTTCGCTTAGGGATGCCCTTCAAGGGAGTTGTCGACACGTTTGAGTTTGACAAGTATGGCTTTGGCAAGGTGCGGTCGTTTGCGCGGTATCTTAAGTTTGCCAACATCTCTTTTGATGGCTGGATGAACGAGACGAATTCTTGTGGGCAACTGCACTGGGTTCCGTACGAAAATGCCACAGAAGTCGAAATGACGGTTGGCCACGGCTGGAAGCTGCACAGCCAAGATGAAAACAAAAGGATTGCAGAATCAACGATGAGGAAGGCGCGAGAGGCTGATAACTTCGATGTCGAATTGCACAAGCTACGAGGCGTACTCACTCTGATCGAAAACGCAGCGTATATCACGAGCGAGAATGCGCAAACTCTGGAAGCCAAGCTACGTCAAGAGGTCCACGAGTTCGGCTCGACATACGGTCTGCCGGCTGTTTTTTTCGTAATTGCCATTATTGCCACGGTGTTCGTGGCACTTTCTAGCAATATCCGGTCGAACGCGATTCGTCGACGAGTGTGCTTGTGCTTGAAAAACGTGGGGGGCCGAAATTTAGATTGACTCTGCATTATGGTGGCTTTGACGGTAATACATAGCGGGTTTATTGATTACTCAAATTAGTTGGATGCATTCTTAATTGCATGTAAAAGGGCCTTGTATGCGCCTCTAGTGGCGGTGTTACGATATTAATGAAGGTTGCGTGCAATCAGAGCTCCGATCACGATAGATGTCATTTCGAAATGGCCCGCCGCAGCAAAACACTCTATCGACCCGATACATTGAGCAAAAAACATTTGTTGTCTTGGACCTGGTCGATGGTGCTAAATTTGGAAGGAGATACGGCTGCAACTGACTTGCTTTAAACGGCAAAACTCTATCAGCAGTGGTGCGAAGAACACTGTGCTAGTCCCTAACATTTTCGAGGTCTGCGTTGGAACGCTCACATTCCGAGACGCTGCAGTGGCTTCACTTGGGGGTCAACAAGATACCAAAAAATCTCGTCAATTGTGGTTCTCTCTGGAACCCTGGGTAAGCGCCGACGTTCCAATTACATGATTGCCATTTCGGTCCCCTGTACGACCAACCCAATGTCGGTAAAGTGTGACGCAAAAGTCTCAGTTGTACCGCCCGGGTAGAAGCATAAACCCCCGACATCAATAATTGCCCTGGACTACCTGGCCACCAGAGATCCCAGTAAGTAGTGGCCATCCAGTTAAGGATGTGTTGGGCCCCGCCAAACAGGACAGACGTCGGTCGTTAGAAATACTACATGTACCCACTACGCGTACAAAAAAGGATTTGTCAAGTAGTAAGTGGATATTGACAGGTTGAAAGGCGTGTAGCAAGACAGCCAATAGTGAATCTTTTGAGTTACACCAATAGCCGATGGAGGTTAGGACCGCATTCAATGGTTGTATGACCAGTGGCTAAGCCCGCGAAGAGCGACTACAAGAAAAATATGGCTAAAAAGACACAATATGGTCATTGGAGCAGGGCATAGATCCATGACAAGTTTCTGCAAATATGGACTGCCTGTACAGGTGACTCGTCCTTGACAACGTACCATGATGAATGACACTTGCATGTGGATAATAGAACACGCCTTGACTCCTGTTTATTAAGGCCTTTTGCGCTCGATTGACAATTAGACGCACACTACGACTTCTGCTCTTGTAGTCACATTGGCAACGTTCTTTGAGCAATTGCTCTCATTCATATGCTACTTTTTTGGGCTTCTCTCGACCCCGCGGTCTCAAATGACGTGAATATGAGGCTTATGCCGATCGATATGCGTCGCGATGGGATGGGATTTATGGGAGTTGTTGACGCTTTCGAGTCGGGTAAGAACCGGCTCAGTACTTTTCGATCATTTCATCAATACATGTCGATTGTAACACAACCCCGACGAGCCAATAATTGTCACCGTCCCTGTGAGCAGCTTCAACCACTGGTGTCGTACTCGCACGAACACAAGCAGTAGTTGACACTACCTAGTATAGCGACTGGGCGACTGTATCATGATCAAGAAATATTAGCAAGTCTCTCATGCGGTCAATAGAATTCCTGAGCAGGACGCACAAGATACGACCAAAAAATTAGTAAATGAACGTGTGCAACCATGCAATAGGTTTGAATGTCGCGGTCTACCACTCGAGAAAACTATTAAATGCTTTTAATGTCATCCTTTCCAATTTGGTTGTCACCTAGTAGCCTAGCGTGCGCGTTACTTGCTGTGGTGATGATGACGGTTTCTTACGGATATCACATAACTACAAGCCGAAGGCTATGCAGCAATGCCGATTCTTAGATCATCACGCGGAGCCACGAAGCGGACGATTGTTATACGTGCCGCCATGACCGCTCGAGCGGTATTTAATTCTTACGCACGCCTAAGGCAATCGTCGTTCTGGAGACTGATGAGAGCATAAGAAATCAATTTCTGGCGGAAAGTTTGGAACGTAAAGATCACAGCGCGTTCCACATTATGAGAATATGTGGCTCAAGCAGTGAGTATGTGCGAGCTGCCACGCGAAAACGATGGAATGGTAGTCTTTTTATGTTTTACTCATAATGGAACAACAGTCTTCCCTCTGCTAAGTTATAGACTTGGTGGAAGGCAAATCCTATAACGTATCAGAGGTTATTCCATAGCAGAGGTATGCTGCGGAAAAATTATTAATTTAATTAATTAAAGAATCAAAAACGCAACAAACCTCCAGGCTTCCAAAACCTGTCTGTCACGTGTCACGTGCCCTATGAAGATTTTGTGATTTTGGTTGCCCCACCAGTCTCTGGTGATTTTGCTATCTCTAATTAAGAAGTTCCACCAACTGTACCTCGCTCGCTCACAACAGATGTCGCAGATACGTCTTACCAACGAGCAGAAGCTGCGCATCTGCAAGCACCAGGATGCTAACCCGCGCATCACCCAGACTGCCCTGGCGGCTTGGACAAAGGACGCCTTTGACCTCCAGAAGGCACTTTCCCAGGCAGCGATCAGCAAAATCATCAAAAAAAGGAAGGAGCTTGAGGCAATGGACACCACTGACCTCAGCGCTAAGCGTCCTCGGACTGTCCAGCACCCAGCTGTGGAGGAGGCCGTCGCCTTCTGGGTCTTGCAGTGCCAGCACCGTGGGGTCTCTCTCACTGGATATCTCATACGGGCCAAGGCTCAGACCTTTGCGGGATCAATGGGCGTCTCGGAGGAAAACATCAGCTTTTCGCATGGGTGGCTCCACAAATTCCAGCAACGCCACAAACTGCGAGCTGTCCGCATTCATGGCGAGAGTGGCTCAGCAGATATGGGCGCTCTAGAGGAGGCTCTTCCACACCTCAAGGCCGTGGTTGCTGGTTATGCGCCACGTGACGTGTACAACATGGACGACACTGGTAGGTCTGAGAATACAGTACAGTACTGTACTCATTGTACAGTACAGAAGCATCTCAAAGGCTCACTTTCTGTTCAGGTTTGTTATACAGTATGACGCCCGACAAAACGATCGCCCGGCAAGAGGTCGAAGGGTTTAAAAAAGACAAGGTACATTATTGCTCTCCTCTTGGTTTCCTGTGTTTCTCTGACACTAACAACTATTCTAGACGCGCATCACAGTTGCTCTCACGGCAAACGCTGATGGACCCGACAAACTCCCGCCGTTCTTCATTGGACACGCCAAAAAGCCGCGGTGTTTTGAGCACAAGACAGCTGAGCGACTGGGCTTTCTCAACCGCAACAACAAGAAAGCCTGGATGACTGGCATACTCTTCCAGGAATGGCTGGGAGACGTCGACAAAAGTATGAAGGTAATTTGGGGCATGCCTTGAACATCATCGTTGTGGTACAGTAAAGGAGGTTTGACTAACGCGTTGACCACAGCAAAAGGATAGAAAAATCCTGCTTCTCATGGACAACGCCCCTTCACACATTATTGCTGACCTGGAACTCACCAACATCACGGTCCAGGTTCTTCCTCCTAATACCACTTTAAAGGTCCAACCCATGGATGCTGGGATTATTGCCGCATTCAAGAGGCACTACCGCCGGCTGCATCTGCAGAATGCCTTGGACCGTGACGAGCGCGGAGAAACCAACCTTTACAAGGTTGATCAGCTCACGGCCATGCGTTGGTCGCTGGCTGCGTGGAGCGAGATTTCCAGTGCCACAATCGCCAACTGCTTCCGTCATACGGGACTCATGGACGGTCCGGCTCTGCCGACTGGTGGGGGTGAAAACGAAGCCGGCACTGTTGGCCAGCAGGCCCAGCAGGAGGCAGCAGCTGCTGCAGTAGAGGAGCAGCGCGTGGAACAGGATATTGTTTCGGCGCTGGAAAGGCTCCCACTCCGCAATCTTATGTCGATCGCTTCTCTTCTCAATCCGGCTGAGGAGGAGGAGACGGCGCATGCGGAGCTGACCGATGCCGAAATCATCAAGCTTGTTGAGGATCCGTATGGGGAGGAGGAAGGTGCTGCTGAGGTGGAGGAGGAGGTGGAAAAGCATTCGAAGGCTGAAAAGCTTGCCAGCCTTAGTCTATCCATCGCCCTTCTCGACCTTTCTCAGGAGTCCCATCGTATAGCTCACCGGACCCTTCGCCAAGTCCAAGTTAATCTCCGTAGTGCGAGCACCACTCAGGCCACACTTGATTCCTGGATGAAGTAGTTCCCTCTCCTCTTTCCACTCCTTTCTTGCAGTGAATAACAAAAAAAAGATTCTGCGTACAATATTTCTGCTCACGGCGGACAAAAATATTCCCTCTGATAAGTTGTATTTGGCCCTCAGGCTATTCCGTATAACTTATTCCGAAGTCACCATAGAACGAGGTCGGTGGAGACCAAATCCTATAACTTACCGGAGGTTATTCCGTAGCCGGAGATAACTTAGCAGAGGGAAGACTGTATCTATTCTACACTTTATCCTCTCTTGAATAAACCTACTTGCAATTTAACAAGCGCCACTCATTGACACTGGTAGTATCGGTCACAAGCCTTCATATCGGTCACAATTCTACAGCGCATTACAACCTGTCGCGAGCAACTGTTTAATGGGCCTCATTTGGTCACGTCGACCATCCGTCAGCATATATTGATAAGACTAATCTACTAACCTTGGGTGCCTTTGGTGCATCAATTTCATTTTAATTTGCTCGGTCTACAAATAAAATTGTGTCACATAATGCACGACTCAGCTTACTTGTAGAATGCGGAAGCTCATGATCATCGACTGCGTTGCCCAGCGCGATTGTAGCACTGAAAAGCCGATGCTCGTAACTTAGTCAGGCACGACGAAAGCGCCAATCTGCAGCTGACAAAACCCCCTTTAATCACTCACTACACTTACAGCGCTTCCTGTTTCGAGCGACGAATTAGCGCACGGTAATACCAGCAACGACTGATCCTACCATTACATTCTCGTCTTCCTGCGGTTGACATTAGACTCGCATCACAATAATTCCTGCCAGACAGCGACAAAGACCTAGCTCTACGAAGTCACGAGTATCTAACGATAGAAGCAATTTGACGAGCTTTAGATTGAATACCAGGACCCCATGCCAACCGGTTACAAGCGC